TACACCCTTGTGACACTTTTTTCTGTGGGTTCTAATGGTAATATAAGTTTTTTTTTTTTAGTAGGCTCAAAACTGAGGTGAGGGTCAGTGTGGTACCTCTGCATAGCAATTTTATGTAACATTCCCAGACGCAAGGACTAACCTGCGTGAGATTTTTACGTCGCTACTTCTGAAGCACATTTGGCATTAAAGGCCTAATGCGAAATAAAATCTTTTAAAGTCGAAGGACTCCATCATTATCCTGTTAATTCTCTTTCCTCTCTGTCGACATTATCACCAAAAATCAACAAACGATGAAATTTGACGCGATGCCATAAAGAAGTCGCAAGCGTGCGCATGCGTAGTAGCGGAAGTTACATTTTCGGTAGGTGTAACATTTTCGGTAGTGACACCCCTACCTATATTGCTCAATTAAGGCCGTTGCGAAATTCTTCTTCTTCTTGATTATTATAGGTAGCAATGTAAAAACAAATACTGTCATCTATTGTCTCGGAGTATGTTGACGGGTCCCGTACCGATCCATTATCTGGGATCTATTTGTTTTGACTTGCTGTACAGGGTAACCAATCAGATGTTACTCTCGGTTGACAACCTGCAGTGACAGATAAAATTAATTCATGATGTGGTGAAAGCGCCAAAAGTGCCAAAATTAAATAAATAGTGAAATAATTGTAAATGACACATGTAATTAATTAATAATGATTTTTTTTCTAATGGTAGATAATAATTCATGGCACATTTAATTAATAATATTTTTATTTCCCATTTTAAATAATTCATGACACATTTAAGTAATATTTTCTCTTTATATTTCCCATTTTAAATAATTCATGACACATTTAAGTAATAGTTTCTCTTTATATTTCCCATTTTAAACAATTCATGGCACATTTAATTAATTAATTATTGGTGTATTTATTTATTTAATTTTGGCACTCTTAGCCCTCAATAGTTTGTACCCACAAGTGGCATGATGACGTAGCAACTAGCCATCCCAGACAATGCTGGCGTTTTTTTTTCTTTGGTTTTTTTTTGAGGGGGGGGAGGGGCCCTCGCGAACGTTTTGCCCAGGGGCCCACACAACCTATAATCTGTCCCTGGCTGAGGGTGTTTGGTTTGGTGATCTTAGGATTCTGCCGTTGAGCAGGCGGTACTGGAACATCCAGAAGTGCACCAGCAGGTTCAGGGACAGTTTCTAATATGGGGCAGCTAAAACACTGAAGTTGAACACAATACAGAAAATAATACATCAATCCTACATGAAAATTTTAGGTCAAACCAGCTACACCCTTGTGACACTTTTTTCTGTGGGTTCTAATGGTAATATA